TTGCCGGCTGGGCTTGAACCACGACAGAGTATTAAGTCATTATTTATAATTCATTTTCTTCAGATTAAAATAATTTTCTGAAATCTTGTAGTTTGCTTGTTTTATATCAGGTTCTTAGACAGCACTTACATTATACATGCCCACACTTGGAAAAGATTATTTCACCCCATGTGTTTACTGTCATTACTCTTTTGAGTGTGTTCCACTTGATTCTGTAAAACATTAAATACACCAGTGGAAATACCAAAGGTGAAGATATTGAATGCTGCTAGTGTTACAAAAGATAAATAAGCTGAAAGTGTTGACGTGACAGCCTGAGATACCATAACAAGCTTGGAGTTTTCTCCACTCTAAAACTGCTTTCAAGCCATGGTCTTTACTACAGCAAGATGGGAGGGCAAGGAAGGACTGAAATAAAATACTGAATGAGAAGAATAATTTCTAGCTTTTACCAGAAAGCTTTTCAACTCTGATGTGTTTTTAACCCTTTCTGCTGCTCAGCAGGCACAGGAGACCCACATTCACTGCTTAAGAAGAATGTCTGTGTGTAGGCTGCCTTCCCCAAAGGCAGTCAGAGGATGTGGCCATGTCTGGGGATGCAGAGCTCTTCCAGGAGGAAACTGCCAGTGGCTGTAGCCCAGAGGCAGCAAATGCTTCTGCCCATGGCTCTGCTTTTGTTTCTTCTTCCTCCCCTTTCACGTCCTCCCCTTCTCTCTCGCTTTTATCTGCACCTGCCAAAGGTAAGTCTGGCTTCACCCTGCCTTTGGCTCCAGTTTATGCAGCAATGGCCACCTTATGTTTTGCAGCTGAAACACAGAGAGAGAAAATCACATCTGGTTCTTTGGCTTTTCAGAGCAGAGGTTATTTGGGAGGCGCCTTGGAGTCTCATGCACTCTGCTTCAAGGCTGGCTTAATGGCAACACTGTTCATTTTGGGAGAGGAGGTCAGTACCTGCCTCAGGGGGCTGGTGAGGATAACCCCCTGTCCTCAGACTGCTCTTTCTGCTTTTGTAATTTCAGCCCATCCTCTCCTCGTGTTTCTCATTGCCCTTCTGTGAGCTTGGAAGCTGGTTTTGTCTCTGCTGTCAGCTTTTTCCTGTTCTCTGAAGGCTCCTTTTTGCTGGGTGCCTCTGCTCTGCCTGTCCCTTGGCCACTGTCATCCTTGGCACTGGATGTTACCTGCAGGGCTGGCTCTGGCTGAAGAGGCTCATTGCTCTTCTTCCACCTCCGGGCCCCCGACTGTGTATTGAATTCATACATTCTGCCAGTAACTTGTAAAGAAGAAAAGACAACTGATTAAAATCATTCCTGTTTCAGCAGATTAAGACATGACATTCTCCTCAGGATGGGGTTGAAATGAGAAACACGAAGCACCTGGAATGTCAGCTGAGCTGGGGAGGTAGCCCTGAGAGGGAAAGCCTCATTTGCACAAGCTGGTGGCTGTTCAGGGGAGGTGCTACTCTATCAGTGTAAAAACTGGCTCTGCAGTTTGGGGAATAGGACATTCCTATTCCAAAAAATAAGAATCTTCTTATCCTATACCTCTGTCCAAGTTACAGCTGCCATGGGTTAACATGGGCAGTGTAACAAACACATTCATAGTCGCTAGGCATAACTCTCCCAAAGCTTTTGCTTTTGGCCATGTTGAGTGAGGCCATCATATACATCTGTGCCTATTTGTTCAGAGTTACCTACCTGAGGCAGCAAAACCTGCTAGGAGCACATCATGCTACATACATCTTCCAGACCATGTCAGGTGTCTAGGTCTACCCAAGATTTGGAGATCTGGGATCCTCAGTGAGTTTTGACTGTATGCAGTGCTCCTCCATTTGCACAACATACTTCAGGCTTGCTGTGCACATTGTCATTAATAGAGTGAATACTGTACTTTCTGTTTGTGCAAGTACATGCTTCGTATAGACAGAATATTGTTAAATTCGGGTTGTTTAGCACACATGGCTACGTTTTCTTGTTTGAAAGATTTTTAGTCCTCTTCAGATTTTATGGGTAATTTGTACCTGTACATTAAAAGCAAGTGTCTTATCCTTCAGTTCATCTACTACCTAGAAATAGGTGGAAAAATTGCTGTGCGTCCAGTGCTATTGCCTCACAGTCTAAATCACCGTCTCTTGCTGAACAGAGAATCGGGAGCTATAGTGGTGCTTCTTTGTAATTAAACATTATTAATATGAGACAAACAAAAGACCATTAAGGCCTGAAAAGAAACAGTGGTTTCATGTTACTACATGTTAACAGTTTGTATCAGAATTAATGGTTTCTGACACATTAACACAATTTGAGCAATTAAAGATGATACTGGATCTCTTTACATGTTACTTTTCTGTCTGCTTGTAAGGCGGGCAGGTTAAAGCAGCCCAGATCAGGAAGCAGCTCCTGACCATCCCTCCTCATTATACTCCACAGATGATGTCCTGGGAACTATTAAATCTCATTTCCAAACCACGGACACTTGATCCTGTAGGGTTTGGGATGAGCCGCAAAGGGGAGAGTGCACAGCACACATTTCTCTGCTGACACCACAAAGCTGTGTAATAGCTCAGTGTTCATGTCCGGCACGAGACAAACACCGTGGCTCTAGAGGGCAGTTCAGATGGGCTCAGGTATCCTTAAGCCTGGTGCTGAGGCCAGGTTTGCTGAGGAAGGGAGTCACCAGCTCTCCTGAACAAACACCAGGAAGCAGCTCTCACAGCAGCCTAGAGAACATCCATGTTTAATATATCACAAACGCAGCTACACAGGGAAAAAGCAGGGACTTTGGAGCCCATCCCTCCAGATCTCTTTATAAATAGCAGGTGGGCTTGGACCCGGACCAAACTGGCCTTGAGCAGCTTTGTGGATGGGTTTAATTGCACAGTAGGGTCCCCTTTTGTTTGCCCAAATTCTACTGAAGTCCCCATGCCTAGTGTTTCCCATTAGCTCACAGCATCTGACAGCTCCAAGCTAGCTAATAAGAAACACAAGGTACAGGCACTTGTGTGGAAATTCAGCCAGATGAATCCAAGCCTTGAATCCAAGCCTGCCTTCTTCTGGATAATTTTTAGACCTATTGTTTCAGACCTATTTTTGGATCTATTTGTTAAAGACCTATTTTGACTGACTGTCACAATTTTCACCAGCCCCCTTGCTCCGTGCCAGGGCTCCAGCAAGGAGAACACATGCCTGGGCACCCTAATGCCAGCCCAAGCACCACGGTGCAGGGCTCAGGCAGGGGCTGTGGTTCAGGGGGATGAGGTAAGGCAGATCAACCCCTATGAGAAAAACCACTTTTCTGTAATGAACCCACTGCAGAACACAGTGGCCATCTCTTGGGAAGGGGATAAGCACTAAAGCTCCTGGCTCATCCTAGTTTTCCTAGCTTTCGCCTTAATTTCACTTTTCCCATCTGGTTAATCATATGTACTCAGAGTTAGCATACCTGAAGCGTGGTGACACTGAGTAGCTGATGCCACCACAAATGTACCTAAAAGCAAACAGTCTTCCCTTTCCTCCTCAACAAGTGATGCTGAGCCTTAGACAACCAGCAGTAATGCACTGTTGCTGCAAGAGAGGAGGTTTGTGCGGGAGCAAGTAACTCTCCCACCTGCCCTCACCTAAGGAGAGGTTTAAGAGGCAAAGTCAGTACATCTGCAGCTACATTAATCTGCTGGCCAAGTCCCAGACATGGGAAGGGTGAAACCCTGTAGCCATGACAGCACCAGAGTAGGAGGCTTGCAGCGAATTCCTCCTCCTCTCCCACCTTCCTATAGCAGATCCGTACATTCAGGTTTAGCAGAGGAGTAGTGAATAATCTGGCCATCAGATGTGTGCTTTCAAGGGCCATAAGAATTTCTACCATTAGAAATGTTACTCGGGCACTGTCTTGATTTTCACTATCTGTGAAATATAGCTCCCATTCTCCTTGGAAACAGCAGACCAGAAATATGAAAAGCAAATGTCGAACCGTATTTAAATCAATTAATCTGGTTTCCAGCCAAATAATCATATCCACTGTTAATTGCTTTGTATTACCTGGGTCTCTGGCTTCACCGTCAAAGACAGTGTTTAGCTTTGTCATTGTCTGTGAAGAGAGACAAATGTGAAATGAATCCTGTGAATTAGTTAAGAAGGAGGGGCAGTGACTTGGAAATGGTGAACTACATGGATGGAGATGGATTTGTATGACCTGCATATTGCATTCCTGGAGGCTGGGCTTGATCAAAACTGGCAACAAAAGCCATTTGTGGTGTAGGGTCTTGTCACTAGATGTTCAAAGGAGAATTAGTGAGATCTGACATGCTAAACGCCTCTATGTGTATAACCACAGGAGGGTCACCTCCACCCAGAGGGGGATTGGGAATCCCCTCTCTGAAGAGCCTGGGGAGGGAGAGTACACTAATGAAAGTGCCTTGCAGCCTTTATGCTATTATGGCTATGAAAAAGGAAGGAGAGCCAAGATCAAGGAGCAAAGAAACATCTATTACAGTGGAATTAACTATGGCATTTTGCTGCAAACAGCTTATCAAAACCAATCTCTTTACAGCTTGGGGACACTTGTGTACCTTACTGGTTGCATTCAGGCAGGTCAGGGTTAGCTGCACAGGTCAGTGGCAACACAGCAGTGCAACATTGCCAGCAGTGGAGCTGGGGCACTTGTCCTCCTGCCTCTGTGGCTGCAGTGAGTGGCTCCTTGTCACTGCTCCAGGCACAGCCTCTTTGGCCTTTCACGTATGGGGCTGCCACAGGGGCTGGAGAATTCGGCACTTGGAAGCAAAGGGGCCACAGCACAGGTGAGCACCCCTCACACCCAGTATTGCCTCCAAATAGAGGCCCGTTGGGGCACTGAAATGTTTTAGATTTGGGGACAATCCTTTTTTCCTTGTCTATCATTTTACATTCTCATTGGAAAACAGACACCTTTCGTAGAAAGAGTCCTGCAATCAGGTTGCTTGATGGGGCTGGGCAAAACCGGGTGTTGTTTTGAGGCTGGCAGTACTTACCACAACCACATCTTTCTTAGGTTTCTTCTTTTCTACAGAGAGAAAAATACACACTGTAAAGAATACTATTTCTCTACCAGTGGCTAGAGACATTAAAGCCAAAATTTCTTTAAACAAATGGACATTCTTGGTATTCAACTTCTGAGACATCTCAAGTGAGCCTTATTTCTCTTCAAAAGCTGGTCCCTAATGCTATTTGAAAAGTGAACTCCTTCACCGTATTTTGGAGTGAGAAACCACAGTTACCAATGACTAATCAAAAGCATAGCCTTGAAAAGTCTTATTCCTTCAGTAATGAATAAATAGCAATGGTTTCTTTAATAAATTTCCCTTTCCAATTAATACAAACAGATACAGAAATTCACCTTTGGGGATATTTGAACTACAAATGTAGATTTTTTTTCATGAATGTTTGTAGCTGCAAAGCTTGTGCACTCAAACATGCACTTGGAGACAAAACAGGGAAATGATGCAGATCCAGTCAAGTAAAATTCAGACTGAAGAACAGTTTGGTTATGTGTGAATTTACCACACTATTAACTGATCCCACTTGCAAACAAATACAGCAGCAGTGCCATGGGCATCTCGACAGCACGGATTTGTGGATGATACCCAACTAGCTGCTATCATTTCTTCTTGCTTGCTCCCTGCCAATTTGCTTAATGGTCTTTCTTCAGATAACTGCATGCCTGGCCATCAACAGGCTTTACAACCAGGCGTGCAATACTCTGAAGTGCTGCAGATGGACCTCAACCTGAGCACTGATGGGAAACCTGTTCTGTCTGGCCTTTGCTGCCCAGCATTTGGGAACCAGTTTTCCAGAAAGCACCAAGCATCCATTTTTTGGAAACCAGCCAGTGCTGAAATGCCTCAAATTGGGCAACCAAGAGAACAGCTAATTCTGTTGGGTTTTGTTAGTCATGTGTTTTTCTCAAGCTGGGAGATACTGACTGAGAAGGGGAGTTGTAAAAGCAGGGTCTTACTGAGCCCATATGAGCCATGCTTGCTAGCAGAAGTCTAGTGGGACTAAAAGGAACAGATTTTTTTTTAATGTGCAACTTATGTCACTGCTAAGTTGTATAAACCCCTTTAAAAGCACCAATACTTTAAAATAAACCTTCAGGTACATGAATTAATGGCGTCAAGGAAGCAAATGAAGGGATCAGAGAACAGGGAATTAGAGTGGAGAGGCCTCTTGAAGGTGCTGCAGAGGGATGGGATTATTTTTTAACATCATATGAATTGCATATGAAAAGTATAGGAATTCTTCAGCATCCATGCCAGAATACCTGGCTACTCTGGATTTGGATTTTACCTAATAGGTTTGAAGACCATGAAATCGCTTAGTCAAGCCTCCCGTAACCAGCCAGTGTTACTCAGTCTCAGTACTCCTGTACTGGGTTAAATTTATTTGTCTAGAAATGGATTTACAAATTCTACACTGAATCATAAACAAGGTCTTGTTGTGAAGTATGAAAATACAGAAAATAGGCACATACCTGGAGCATTTATCCTGTAATGAGAAAAAGATTAAGACTGTAGTTAACAAATGTCATACTTTTGCCTACATAAAAATACCATGCTCTGTTCTCTTTCATTTGGCAAAAAGGATGTGCTTTCTTGAGTTCTGGGATTTGCTTGATTTGTTTGGTTTCTGGTTTTGCTTTCACTAAAGGCCTGAATCAGTTAATGCTGCTCTCAAACAGGAAAACAGCCCTCAGCATTGCCCCAACAGCTCACCAAGAATGGTATTAGAATAAAGTCTTATCGATGAAAACATGATGGATTTATTTAATCTGGAAATATATATCTTCAAACATTGTCATCTTGTTCCATCCTTAGAGGAAGGTCAATTATTTTTTATCTGATGTCCTCAGATAATACCGTTTAAAATATTTGAAAGGTTATAAATGTTTTTGAAAATACAGAAGTTGCTTTTTAATGGGAGAGCCTGGCTCCTGATGAATCACTTGCCTTATTAATAAATAATAACAATAACCAGCTATATACTGCTAGATTCATTTGTCATTTTTATCACAAATTGCTGAATTCCTTCCACACACCATTTGAATTATAATCACAATTATATATTACCTATTTACAATGATTTATAAATTTAGGTCCAAATCCTAAGAATACTTACAGAAATCCTTCTTTTCTAACCCTAGTCCATTTAAAGAGCTGCTTATCTTTGTTCTGTGAAGTAAAAAGCCAATTTAGAGGCAGTCTGGCTCCAGCCTGCTGAGGAGGCAGCCAGTGGGGATCTCTGCCACTTCCCACACTGAACCAGAGCCGGTCCCAGGTGCTTCCATGGCTTTTGCCAAGCACAAGCATTTAGAGATACAGTGAAGCTTAATGGGCCAGAGCCTTGCAACAGGCTTGGGTAAAACTCCAGGAAATCTGCAGAGGTTTTGCCAGAACAAAGAATTTGGCATGAGCACCAAGGTTTGGAAAAGAGTCTGGGATCTAAATGCATCCACTACTACCTAGACGGGAGCTCCCTCGGAGTGGGAGCCCAATACAAACCAAAAACTCCTGTATTTTTGGTCAGCACAGTCAGGCCCAGACTCTGACTGAGCCTCACAAGCACAGCTGTCCTTTGAGGTTACAGCTGTGAATTTCACTATTACCTTCAGCTAATGATAATGTTAGTAAATCCATGAAGAAAATGCCATGGACATTTTTCCTTGGTTTCACATCATTAACACCAGATACCACTGCAGCTGGCAGCAGCATTCACTACAGAGAAGGGCACACCACTATGAAACATTCCTCACAGCTGAAGGGCCTGAGTTCTCTCTGCTATTGCTGGTGCTTCCCCAGCATGGCGCTGGGAGGACTCACGGAGGTGTGCTGTGTGCCCTGCGTGCCGGAGAGCAGCGGGTGCGGAGCCAGGTCGCCAGCAGGAGCCCCAGGTAGCCCAGCAGTCCGAGGAGCAGCAAGCTGCCGAGGGTGATGACGAACGGCACGTACCACGCCGACCCGGAGTAGAGGTTTTCCCTTTTTGTCACGAGAGTGAAGCCAGGCTTTTAAAATAAGATAGGAGAAGTTCCTCAAGGCTGCATACGTGTAAGGTAACTGACACCAACAGCACCTTTCATCTGCTTGAACTTATGCACCGAAGCACCTGGCCCAAGCTTGCCCTGGGGCTCTGCAGATGATGGGCAGAGAGAGAGCGTCTGCTGGAGACAGTGATTCATCCCAGGTACCTGCTGCTGACTGCCAAGGCAGCTCAGATGGCCGAGATGGACCACAGAGCTCCTGGGGCAACCAAAGGCAGGTGAAATGGAGCCCACCCACGACGCAAAATGGTTCCAGATCATGTTTCCATGTCTTATATTAAAACAAGCATGCCATGGTGGGTTTAAAAGCCTCAGGTTGCCTGAGAAGCTGAGAACGCACTGTTGGAGGGCATGCAAGTCCAGGGAACGCTGCCATTACCATGATAATGGTTTCCTGTTACCTAAGGCAAAACTGGAAGTAGGTCATCTTCACTGCAGTGATCATTCAGCCTGCTCCGTAAGAGGAGTTGAACCCCAAGGAATTGAGTTATTGTATAAAAAGAAACAAATCTCCCTTTCTTTTTTTTTTTTTACCCTGTGACTTGTTCCAGAAGGGAAAACCACACTTCTGAGCTGTTGCAATCTCCCACATCTTCCCAAATGTGAGAAGACACGTCTCTGAGCTGGTATATCACTCAGTGCTAGCAACTCATTCACTAAAGTCCCATCATGAAACTATCTTCACACAGATCAGAAATTACTCATTTGGTCTACTTGGGTCATTCCTTAGTGTGGTACTATTAGTTTTGACTGTCTACAGAAGGTTTTATTTAATTCTCTGTAAAACATTTGTAATCATGTTGTGTGTGTACTTTAGTAGGGTACCCATTTCTTTCCTGTTTAAAAACCTATTTAGCCTTGGGGGAAAAAAAAAAAAGTACATCCAACCCTAAGAGAAACTCTCAGGTAATCTCTAGGTTGCCACCACTACTCCATCCTCACTGGGACTGAAGTCATGTTGTGGTTTAAGCAAGTGACTTTTTGTGAGGGGGCTTCTTTTCTACACTACCAGCCTTCCAGCATCTGATTTATCAAGTTGCTGCACTGAACATGTGCAAGGAGTAGTGTTGGTAGAAGTTGCTATAATGGAAGTGCTCTTCTGGAAAACAGCCTGAAAGTGGAAGGCTGCTATCTCTGGGGAGGCAGATTTAATGCTGTGGTATGTGGTCTAGACTGTTTGTAGTTGTGGTAAAGCACGGGAAAGAAATAGGGGATAAGTTTTGTTATTCAGCTTAACTTTTCATTTCCACATCAAGTAGGGGGAGGAGAAGGCTGTGGGAAAACCGTTTATTCCTTCCCAGCAGAGCATTAGATAATAACAGGGTTATTAATCAGTCTGCAAGTTTCGTTTTAAGCATTTTCATAGCAAAGCGTCCAGACTTGCATGTGCTGTTCGCAGGATCCACCAGTTCTGGCTAGCTACCAGTAGTCCCTAGCGGATCCAGACCATTTCACAGTGAATAGCTCTTTTACCCCTTCACGAGCACACTCATGTTTTCGTTCCTACGTGCAAGAGAAAAAAGGGTAATGCCATCTGCAGGCAGGCAGAAAATGGGCAGACTCTGGATGAGCTGGTGCAGCAAGGGATGAAGGTGGGACTGGCAGAAGGATGAGGACAGAGGGTCTGTACCCTAAAGCTATGCTGCTTCTGCAGGCAGGATGAATGCAAGCTCTCCTCATGTCCTGTACTGGCCTGTTGGAAATCAGCTCCAACATTAAACTGGCAAGCCAGAGCTTCCCTGGGATGGCTGTGCAGAGGAGTAGACTATTGCTGGGACACAGGCCCACAGTTCCACATCCACAGGCTGATGGATGCCTGTGGAACCATCAGCCTGTGGATGCCAAAAGCTGTGCAGCTCAGCTATGGACCACCATGTGAACAGGAGCTCAGGAAAGACCCATCCCACCCTCTGGATTTGCTGTTTGAAACCTGCTGAAAGCTCAACAGCACACTGAGGCTGTGCACAACTGCTTCAGCTCCTGACAGGCAGCTCAGAGTTTTATGTGATGGTGACCTCTGGGACGGAAAAAAACCCCTTCCAAGTGATGAGGATTTCTTGGGGTTTGTTTTTTTTTTGTTGTTGTTGTCTATTTCAGTTTTGGTAGCCACAGATTAATGTGTTTCACTGCTAAAAGAGCACATAGAAGTGCAGGGCAGCTGGTGGAGTGAGTAACTATGGATAAAAAAAGAGGTAGTGCAAAATGCATGAGGTAATTCCAGGCAAAGGTTAACCCCTGTTCTTTGCTTATTAATAAAGCTGCCAAAGTCTTTAACTTTCCAGTTGCATGGTAATGGCAGCATGCCCAGTCATTTGGCTACTTGCCCTTTTTGTTTTAGAAACTAAAATACAAACCATATGTTTTGACTCTGTACCTGGGACCAATCATTCATGACAGTAAGGACATCAACCACCTTTGGCTTCAACATCAGAGCAGAGAGCTCAGCACTTCCCAGTACTAGACATTTTTTTTTTTGCATGTATCTACCCTCTTCTGTTCACTTCTATGGAGATTAGTTCGTAAAATAAATGCAGAACTAAACATAAATCTCAGTGAACTTACTGTTGTGGTAACGACAGTAGTTGGGTTTGGGATAACTCTGATGCTTAAAGTCACTGTTCCAGTTTTAACTAGGCGTGTAGTTTTGTCCCTGGCAGATAATAGATTGTCATCTGTTATATAGACACGCAGTCTGTAAATCCAGTTTGTGTCCAGTCCACTTTCATAGTCAAACCTTGATTTAAGAATCAGCCGTGATGTGTTGGAGCCAGCACTTGGTGAAAAGGTGAAATGATTGTTCACGTTGCCTGCAAAAAAACACCACCAAAACACAAATAATATACTTTAATCCCACATTAAAGTAAACGTGTGGAACAAGCAAAAAGATTCGTTTCTGCTGACAATCTGTTGTGGCTCACTATCCACCTGTGTTGTGAAATGTCATTGACAAGAATTGCTCCTAGATCTTCCTGATACCATATAAAATAATTTGAAACAATACAGTCATAAAGGCATTAAAATGTAGAATAAGACCCTTTGTGGGGACACAACTGAGAGGAGGCTGTGGAAACACTTCAGAGCCACCGAACACACAAGAGATCACCTGAATGACCTGTCCTTACAGCCAGAAGAGCACTCAGAAGCAGCAGCTTGCAGCTGGGCCAAGGACCTTACACTGCTGCAGGACTCATTCTGCTACTGGAGTATTGCTTGAGTGGCCCTTAGGCCACATGGACACCAGTGTATCCAAAGGCCCCTCCAGCCCCTCTCCATAGCCCCTCCCTCTAGCCAGAGGCAGAGGCCTTTGAAGAGGTCCTCCAGAAGAGGACCTAATGACCTGGGGACATTAACTGCCTCCAGGGCATTGTCTGTACTCTGGGGCAATGATGCTGGCTCCCCAGCCTCCAGTTTCTGTCCGTATAGCAGCTGTAGGTAGGCCAGCTGTTGTTAGGCTCCAGACAGACCACATACAAGAGATCAGAACCAAGAAAAGGCATGAAATGTGCTTCAGTTTTGCTCTTGTTGCCCTATGGAGCTTCAGAGTCAAAGTGACCTTGAAGGCCATTTCTATTGTACACTACAAAACAGGCAGTGGGCTGCTCTGTGGCTTAGAGGCCAACTGCATGGCACAGCTCACATCTGTACTGCCAGAAATGGACCTGCAGTCAGACCCTGACTTACTAATGCAAGTACAGCCTCTGTATGGGTTTGTGTGTAAATACCACTGCTGCACTTATGGAGAGACACCTCTTTGGGTAAGCAGCAAAGTAATGATGCACAGAATTCATGGGTCACAACTAGCTCACCATGAGAAGCAGGACATAAACTGTGCTAGATCTTTGTTTAAACATCAAAGTGAACCATCAGCATACACTAATTTTTGCACTGCTCCCAGCTCACACACCCTGACACGGTACCTTCATTAATGAAGTAACGGAAAGACCTGGGCTCAGAATCACGATCTTGGCATTCAATCCTGAAGCCATTAATATTGGTCCCCACAGATAAGCTGACTGGGATTTGAAATGAATAGAAATTGGGTAAACAAACTGGTTCTTCATCATTTACTTCCAAAACATTGACAGTTACCTGAAAGAAAAGAGCAATAGCAAGCTGAACCGCATCCACTGTGCTGAGCCAGAATTTTATTAACTTCAATAACTGTTTGGCTATGCCCATTTTTCTCTTTTTATCAACAGCAGTTGAAAAGCAGTGAACGTCCTTTCCAGTCTAGTTTCTACTATGTCTCTGATCATTTAACTTTCAATTCTTGTGATCAACACTCTCCCGGGAACAGGTTCCTTAACTTGAACCAGCTTCCAAACTCGTGGGGGTTCTGAGCTGGTGCATCTGACTATCTGAGTCGCCTGAATTGTGTCATAGTTAAAATGAGAAATAATAGTATTGCCACATATTCATTAAACCCGCTTTCAAACCTCTCAAATTTCTTCACAGTCATTTGCTAGGTTTCTTAGCATATTTAATAATAATTCAGAACATGATCCATGGAAGGAAGGAAGGAAGGAAGACTCCTTATAGACTGTTCCCAGTGAGAGAGAAATGCTGGTAATGGCCTTCTGCATGGCTGGGAGCATCCTGCGTAGCACCAGAAGTGATGAATGTCAGCTGGGATTAGCTGACTGAGAGGAAAAAGTTACCCTTCTCAGAGCTCTTTCCTCTGATGTTTATTGGTCTTTAACAGGCAACATGTAAACTTGTCTTTGTTAAAATCTCCTGATGCTGAATTTCCCTTAATCATCACCTCAAAATACTACAGGTGATAAAGAGATTAAGTACCTCCCACCTAGCATCTCTATGGGTGGTGCTTGGCTTGAATAGAAAGCAGGCCCAGTACTCATATTCCCCCCAAGAAATGTGCAAAAATCGAATGTAAGGCAGTCATGAGGAAGGAAGATGTGAAAAGGAGTAAAAAGGAGTCTGTATGTGAAGGATGCAGGGATTCTTTGAAAGAGCTATAAAACACCTCTGTCAATATAATGGCTATATTTTTTCTTCTGAATAAAATAGTTGTGGCCAGTTCTTTTTCTCTAATATATAACTGTGCAGGGGTGAACTGGACATTTACAGACCACAGTGCTTTGCCTAATGTCTTACTGTTCTTGCCATGAAGAAGAGAGAAAAATGTGGATGAAAGGGGGGAAGTGAGTGTATTTACTCACAGATGCGGTTGCAGTCTTCTCTTGATCTGAGGCCTGTACTGTGAGAATGTGTTTCTGTGCTGTTTCATAGTCTAATCTAGCTAAAATCTTCAGATGTCCTTTGGTTGGGCTGATCCAGAAGATATTTGCATAATTCCTGGTGCCTCCTCCAGCTATAATGGAATAAGTGATGACACTGGGTGGCCGGTCCTTGTCTCTGGCATTCACTCTTCGATGGTGGACCCAACTGAGAGACAGAAAATCCATATTTCTGTAACTTTTTAAGGAAAAGGAAGTACAGAGTACTTATTTCAGCTAAAACTTGATGAAACTGAACTAAAGATTTGTTTTAGAGTGTTTCACCTGCAGAAAAGTAAAGTTTTAGAGTTTTTCATCCCATTTCTCACACAATGGCGTGAGAAATACTACTTGACCATGCTGTGCTATGGCTCATGCATGTATGGGCTTGCCTGCTAGCAACAGGTACCAAAATGTAAGGAGTCTGTAGAGAACCATAACAGAAGTGCTCTGCCCATGAGCGCTACCCTGAGCCCTTGCACCAACACCTTGTGGCAGCCCGAGCTCTGGCTTGGTTGGAGGAACAGGGCTCTCTGTCTGCCTTGAGAAGCAGTTACTGCTGTTCCTTCCGAGGTGTTTGAAAAGCAGATTGAATTATCTTCATGCTGAGCATTTATGAAGAAAACTACAAATGACAGTGCTGTAAACTGTAAGAATGGGGATGGGACTGTGCACACCCATCTCTGCAGACATTGCTTCAATGCTAAGTGGATCCACATGGCCCAGGGATATATAGGATGAATAGTCTACATGCACAGAGGAAGAAAGAAGGAGGATGCAAATCAAGGGTTGGCATTATTTTTTTTTCCCCTGACCCTGTGATCTCCAGTCTCACTGCAAACCGTTGGCTCCTGTTTGGTACGGCGATAGCAAGCACCCTGCTAATGTCAACTCAACCCTAAACAAAAGGCAGTCTGAGTTGAAGAAACATATTCTTTCTCTTGCTAGTCTCAGCATCCAGCAAAGTTCTGTGGCTGACACAGACAGCTTTATAGGCATATCCATGTCACAGATGGGTTTCAAGTGTTAACTTGCTAAGATACACGTCAGTGGTAAGAGGAGACACACAGAATAGGAAATGCTACAAAATTCACCGTATCATGCCCACTGGGAAACAGTGTAGAAAGCCAAGCTCCATCCATGCACTATAGAAATAAAAGTTGGGCAAGCACAACAGGCTGCTGAGCAATACAAGACACTGGTATGAACACCTGAAGGTCAAGATCCTCTGCTGAGTGGCCATCCTGTGCCTCCTAGTTCCCCTATTAGCCTTCCTCGCTTTCCTGGCAGTTTGGCTCCTGCAGGATCCAGGGCTGCCACAGTTCCTCTGCCAGGCAGATCCCCCTGGGAGCCAGCCCCTCCTTCCCCAGCCTCACAACTCTCTCCAGCTCCCTCCCAGGCCGTGCCTCCCCACACCAGCGGCAGCTTTGCTGTACTCAGCAGTGGCTGATGATGGTTTCTCCATGGGGCTGACAGGAGTGATTTTTTCAGACCTGTGGACCTTGGCAGGATCATCCTGACCACGGAAGGAAGAAAACAGAGCTGAGGGTGAGGGCTGGAAATTTGGGCTTGCTCCTTTGCGCATGGCAAGGGAGAGGAGGTTGTGGACAGGATGGCAGTGCTGCTTGAAGCATGCCTTTTCCTGCCCACCACCCCCTGCCTCCTGGCTTAGGCAAACGGACACAGAAACACTGTAGAGCCCACAGGTCTGCTGACCATAGCCACAGCTGCCTTCACCTGTGATTTAAGCTTGCCCTGGACATAACAATTTGATGAATTCAAGCAGATACCAGATTATCTGGCTGCTGTATCTCCTGGTGTTTCATGGGCAGCTTCACCATGTACCACTCAGATGCAGTGATGCAGCCAGATGATCTCCTCGGTGACGTGGCCATGGGTGTAGGTGTGCCAGTGACAGCAGCCTGGGGCAGTGTTGGACATGCTGGAGGACAGACCTGCCATTCAGAGGGGCCCAGCAGGCTGGAGCTAGAGACCAACAGGACTCATGGAGCTCAGCACAGACAAATACAAAGTCCTGCAACAGAACAACCCCATGCATCGGAGCAGGCTGAGACTGACTGAGCAGGAGCAGGTCTGCAGGAATGGACCCCAGGCTCTGGTGGACAAGTTATACATGAGCCACTAGAGCACCCTTGGGAAATAGAAACTGCATACCGGGCTCTATTAACACGTACGTTACCAGCGCGTGGTGGGAAGTGACTAATCCACTCTGCTTACCAACCATAAAGCTACCTGTGACCAGCGTGGGGGCCCAGGTACAAGAGAGAAGCTAAAAAACTGGAGAAAGGCAGGGGAGGGTTGAGTAGAGGACACAGGAGGAGAGCCTGGTGGGGCTGGGCTTGTTCAGGCTGGAGAAGAGAAGGCGAAGGGGGATTTAGTTGCTGTGCTCCACTACCTAAATGGCAATAACACAGAAGACCGAGATACACCCTTCTCAGAAAGGAACAGTGAAAGGACAATAGAGAACAGACACAAGCCACAACATAGAAAATTCCAGCTGGATACAAGGCAGAATTATCTGGAATGAAGGTTGCTCAGCTGGAACAGGGGCTCAGAGAGGCTGTGAGTCTCCATCCCTTGAAATTTTCAAAATGCAACTGGATGAGGCCCTGAGCAACCTGATCTAGCTTTGAAACTAACCTCACTCTGAGCATGAGTTGGGCTGGAGATTCCCATAGGTCCTTTACCCCTTCAATTTTTCTGTGACTCTAGAAAGTTCAGAATGAGATTTATCCAGCATGTTTCTAATGTACGTTGCAATTCTTTCTCAGCCAACGAAATAAAGACAATAAGTGAGGTCCTGGGGCAGAGGGCCTGTGTTTGGCAGATCAGGTCATATGAAGAAGAGGCTGAAACTAGGGAAGATTCCATTCCTGTGCGGAGTCCTCTGTGCACCGAGCAGAACAGCATAGAGCTGGCTGGTGGTCATACCTGGCACACAAGGATTACCAAAGCGTCAAGGTGCTGTAGCACTTCTCTGCAAACACATGAGATGCAGGACTCACCATATGACAAGAAGGTGCTGAGATCAGAGCCAAGCATGTGAACAGGTTTAGCAAATTCAGTTTTAAGGCCATGTTTGCATCTGCTGGTCCTGGGCTGTTGCAGGACTGGGAAGGACCGTGGCTCTGGGCACAAGGAGCTGCTCTGACTGCACCTGGCTGAGTGCAGCCTCCCCAGCCAAGCACTCCCATCCCACCCCATCTTCAGGGCACCCACTGCACCCAAGGTGAGCTGGGCCTGAGGGGGTGGTGGGGTGGTTGTCGGGCACTATACCCAGGCCAAGGGAGTCCTCACTCATCTTTGTCAGCCAATAACTGTTTCTTTGCACCGTTGCAGTGCCTCCAAAAGGCTAATTCAGCAAGAGCAGAAAGACGGTCTAAACCACAAGACATTTGAGTTCAATTCCTGGCTCTGTCACAAATTTCTTGTGCATTGCTGAATTTGCCTGTGTCTCAGCTTCCATCTGTACAACTGGAATTGTTGCCAGTTTTCTCTATTTAAGGGTAGTAGGTGGTTGTATGGTGAGACCCTGGTTGAACTGGAACTTTGAGCCGTTCTCCTCATTCAAATATATGAAAATCCATTTAAAGCCAAAAGGTACTTATTAACATGACACCATTATTTCTATCATGTAGGTCCTACTTACAGTACCTTTAGCAATTTCTGGAACATTAAATACATATGATAAATTACTGAAGACTGGAAAAAATTCATTCACCGGCTTTATCCTGATGTAAATGTAGATGATATCTGGAAATATAACAGAAGATTAAATCATAGTTAAGTATGGCTGTGAAATTTTCTCATGCATATATTCAAAATACATATGGTATTATTCCTTTCTCCATGCTGTTACAGCACAGGAAAATATCAAAAGAAGTGTAAAAGGGATACTTGCTTGAGTAGTTAGGAGAGGCAATATCTTGCACCCTGACAGTCAATGCATAAACTTCAACTCCTAGATTAGCTCGGTTTTCTAGATCAATACTTTCAGTCATCTAAATTAAAAAGAAACACAATTGTAGTTATACTTCCTTATAAAAAGTCACAATACACACAATGGCAATTACTTTTTTCAGCATTTTCTAAGTGTGGTTGCCCCCCTTGGATATATAGAATTGCTCTGTAGGGGGAATACAGTCTATTAATCAATTACAGGATTGAATTTCAGGCTTTTTTTACATGTTCACACTCTGGTGTCTCTTGGAAATACAAAACTCTTTCCTTCTGCCAACAAAATTCGTTTTCCTTAAATGCAGGAAGTTTTATCATTTGGATCATAGGGTTTTGGCCTTTTACCTAGTTAATACAAAGCTCATGTAATGAGCTGGCTATTTACTCTGCCCTTTGTTGGCTCAACAAGAATCTGCTATGGCTAAATAGTCATAGTTACTCCTTGAGCTCATGCCTGCAGAAATGTATTAAAGGTATCAGGTTCAGCCACAAGTGTTTATCCAGGTACCAAGCTGTTACTAAATGGTGCCTCATGCAGATTTAAATCCTAATCTCTCGACTCTCTGTCTTTCTCTTTCTGTAGGAGCCTCATAAACTTTGGGGCAGCAGGACTAAAGCACAGCCATCCACTGTTGATCATCTACAGGGAAATTCCTGGAGGAACAGGACACTTCAGATAGCCTGTTATACTACATATACACAGTGGTCAAAGGGCTGACAGCAGTTGTATCCTGTGCAGCAATTAAAATGCTTTTCACATTGTCAGATGAAGCAGCTAAGGGCAGTACTCACTGACATGTATACCTCAGATCAAACATTAAAGTAAGCCATACAAAATCATTTTACTGCTCCTACAGCACTCTTGTCTTTCAGACAGAATGCATGTCTTTTGCTATGTTTCCCTTTTCCTGTAGTTGTCCACGGTTCTTCTCAAAGCAACAGAACAACCCCATTGCACATGGCCAGCAATTGGGAGGGTATCTGGCCAATGCAAATATGCTAGCACCTATCAGCATAAGAGACCCATATTTTGACATGCAAAATCACACAAGTGCAAATCCCACTATGGTGTTGTGAAAATTCACCACTCAAAGTGGTTTTACAATTCTGACCAATGAAGCTGGGAAGCAGTGAGTGTGGGATTTCTCAACTGTTTCAATTCTTCATGCTGAATAGGAAGGATCTTCCACAGTCTGTCATGAATAAATGGGTATGAAATTGCATCACATTTCACTGTTTATCCATAGCAAAGTTGGTGCTTCACACTCCCTAAAAAGGGATATTTTTCTTCAATCATATCTAGCACATTTATTTAAAACTGGAGAAAACAGTTATCTGTTCACCAAATTCTGTAGAATCCATAGAAAGCATCCTAGAAAGCATCCTGTCAAAGGGTATGTAGTTCACACCCAGTCAAAATAGTCATTCTCCACATCATACTTACTGTGACATGAATTACAGGAATTCTCTTTTTCTTGTACAAACAGTGAATTCAAAGAACTTACAATGTTTCATAAGATGACTTCTGAAGTGTGACAATCTAACGTAAAGCCACAAAACAACTGACCACAAGTCTCCCAGACAGAGTGGACTCCAGAGCAAAGTTATTGCTTCCAAAACCAGATAATCCAGTGAAATTAAATCGATTGTTTGATGGATCAACATCGATATCTTTACAGTAATTTCTAAGCTCAAGAAGAAATGTCCCAGCAGCTGTATTTTCATTTGCCTCTTTCCTGTTAAAAACAAACACATTACATAAACACAAAGCATACGAAACATAAAGCAAATCATATTTCTCCTCTTGTACTCTTCATATATTACATGCCAAGCATTGACTTCTATTGATTTCCTACATGAAATCCTATTGATGAAACAACAACAGAATCTGATCCATATTCTGTGGTGGACAGCAGCCCTGTGTGTTTGTGCTGGGCAGAGCATAAACATTTAGCCAGACCAAACCATGAACTTGAAACTCAGCTAAACTTCAGGAGCTGCCATGAGATCTTAATGTTCAATATCAGTTCCATTAAGAACTAGAACTTTAAAACACCTTTACATTCATTTCTTCAGTATGTTATAATGTTCTCCTGATGAGAAGCTCATTCTTTTCTCCTTAACTAATAGCTGGACCATTCTGCTGTTTTGTGAAACTAGTATTTCTGGCCCTGCTGTTGATAGTGAGGGTCTCTGTGATGCACATGATGGAAGTGGGGGCAGAAGGTGTTGATTTAATTTTTTTAAATCAAAAGAATTAAATACAAAAATATGAAGAACCAACTGAAATACCATTAAGCCCTGATTTCATTACCTTGTGCAATCGCTACAAAACTAGATCTTTGATTTGATTGCTTTTTTTCCCTGAAGTTTTTTGCCTCCCTCAGATCAAAATTTAAGCTTACTAAATAACCAAGAGACTGTTGTGTTATTTTCCTGGGTGTTGTAACTAAGCAGCACTCTGAAGAGTCGGATTCTCTTCCTGCCAGTATGTAAAAGTAAGTGATTTAAATGTAAGACATTTCTGTTAGATAGTGAGCAAGCAATTTAAACAGATACTCATTGACTGGGAATTCCTCATTGTGTAAGTACTGGGCCTGAGATGCTGGATTTTCATCCGCAGGACTATCAAACTACCATAAGCGCACCTGAAGAACTGCACTACGCAATGCAGTGTACTCTGTAAGATCAGAGCCCAGGCACATCAAACACTTCAGATGGACAATTTTCACTTCCACCTTTCCATGACACACTTCATCTGTAAAATGGAGTTAATGTCATGTCCTCATCTGCAAATATAAACTACCTGATCATCACAAAGATCTCAGGGCATTCACAGCTATAGCAAAGTCCATGACTAAGTTACCTTGCACGGAGGACACCTATAACAAGACATGATCTGAGCTCTGAAGACCTTACAGATTGCATTAGACAAAAAACATGCAGGTCATAGGGAGGGATTTAGAAGAGAAGACCAGGAAGTTTAAAACAAAACTTCAGAACTGACTAGCAAGCTTTCCCTGGTGAATGATTGCCCACAGTTTAGCATAAGGTAAAGAAAGGAGGAGCCTGGATACGTATAGGTCAAAAAAGTCACTGTAATACATGGCTCTGATATCCTAAGGGTTTTGGTATCTGAAAGAAAGATAAATTAATTATCTGGCTATACACAGACAATTTTAGTCCAAATTTTCAGTTTGAACATGTCAGGAAATTGAGTTTTGTGCCCTAGGACTCTTAGAGTGAACACTAACCCTTAAAGGCTAATGATAAATGTCCATTTGAGCTGTAGGTCTGGGACCCTAGCTGATGTGCTCTAGACTGCAACAAGGCAGCACTAAGGCAATGAAGAGCCGCAATACCTGAAGGTAGAAGGATTGCATTCTGGTGGGTTGTCATTGATATCATCAATAATGATTGTGATTTCCAGTTCGTTGTCATGACCACCGCTGGGACTGTCCTCCACCCGGACTATCAGTGAGATGTTAGGATGGAGCTGCAGTGGAAGGGCATCTCGGTCAATTCTTCCAGTCACCTGCAGCACTCCAGTCACTGGGCAGAAAGCAACCAGAAGTTAGATGTTCACCATGGGAGGAAGTAACACTCACGGCGTATGTGCAAAAGAGTAGGATAGCTCAGCAGACAGGTAGAGGAATAAAATATCTTCTATTCTTGGGCAACCCATTCCAGTGCCTCACCACCCTCACTGTAAAGAACTTCTTCCTTATATCTAATCTAAATTTCCCCTGTTTAAGTTTAAAGCCATTACCCCTTGTCCTACCACTACAGTCCCTAATGAAGAGTCCCTCCCCAGCATCCTTGTAGGCCCCCTTCAGATATTGGAAGGCTGCTATGAGGTCTCCACGTAGCTTCTCTTCTCCAGGCTGAACAGCCCCAACTTTCTCAGCCTGTCTTCATACGGGAGGTGCTCCAGCCCTCTTATCATCCTCATGGCCTCCTCTGGACTTGCTCCAGCAGCTCCATGTCCTTTTTATGTTGAGGACACCAGAACTGGACACAATACTCCAAGTGAGGTCTCACAAGAGCAGAGTAGAGGGGCAGGATCACCTCCTTTGACCTGCTGGTCACACTTCTTTTGATGCAGCCCAGGACACGGTTGGTTTCTGGGCTGCGAGCGCACACTGAAGCCGGCTCATGTCAAGTTTCTCATCAACCAACACCCCCAAGTCGACAGAGCCCTGGGCAACATAGTTTAGTGTGAGGTGTCCCTGCTCATGGCAGGGGGGTTGGAACTAGGTGATCTTAAGGTCCTTTCCAACCCTAACTATTCTATGATTCTATGATTCTATTCTGTGCAAATCGTGGCTGGTTTAATTATTTTTTTAAACTATACAAAATGACTCTGAAAGTTCTGCTTAAGACTCTATTGGATAGATACCCATTGCTCAAAATCATGCCACAGGTGGCCTCGGCAGAGGGCTTGGGAAGCAGCTACAGATTTCCCTTATGCTCTCAAAGAGGTAGTGCAAGTCTATGTGAGTGCACTCTCAGACCATCAAGGACAATGAGCTGCTAATGCCTGTACTGTCCTTGCTTTCTAGCTAGTAAGACTGCTTCTCTTTCTACTGTTATTATTCAAGCATCCTCCTGCACCTCTAACTCTACTCACACATCAACAGAGCTGCTCTTAGCTGTGACAGTTTGCACCAAGTGCTCTGGTCAGACATTCACTTAATATTTTTTTTCACTTCTGTTAGCCTCTGTTCAAAAAGTGAAGGTGTTTATGGCACAGCACAATACTGTTTTCAAAGCATGAAGGAGGTAAAGGAGCAGTGTGTATATCCTCTGCCTTTTGGAGTGTAACTGAAGGGAGAGGGTGGCAACACATGGGTAAAGGGCATAGGGAATCCAAAGCATTTAGGCACTGCGTTGTGTGTCACCACTCACAGCTATGTTAAGCAGCTCTAAAGCAATAGTAGACAAGGAACAAAGCAGTCACGGAATGTCAGCCTTGGAGCAACAACCTCAGGGCACTGGTGTATGCACCCCAGGGAGCACAGGCGATAGAACAAGCATAGGAGGGAAGACTCTTTTTGGATGGCCTTGCTAAGGAGGGTCAAGAATGAAGCAACAAGCTGAGGTGCAGATTTGCCATGCAGATTTGCCATGCATGTCAATACTAGAGCAGATTTCAGGCAGACTTCAGACCATTTCATTATGGTCTATGTGCAGCTGTTTCAAGAGCCCCAGAAGTCACTGCAGTTCTCAGAGATTAAAAAGAAGGCAGCTAATCTTACTTCCACTTAAGGGACCATCACCCTCCATAAGTCAATATTTGTCAAGAAGTCACCTTTGGTCTACTTTCTTCAAGATATCTTCCTGAATCTTGGCCAGCTGACCAAAGAATTTGACCCTAATAACATACTGAACACTTCTTATTACTAGGGGTAACCACAGAATAATTAGGTCAATTTAAAACTAAGGCAAAACATTTTTCTCCAAAGTAGCCATGCTTTTTTTGTGTGTCAGAAGGCACATTTTTGTTTGTCTTACATGAGTTTATGGAGAAATATCTGTGAGAAGACTGGATGCTGTAGAAAAGTCTGCTGGGAGAGCCTTCATCGTCAGGATCTTTAGCTGATACATTGGCAACAACAGTGTGTAGGCTTTGTTCCTCTGGAATCCTGTAGATTCTTTGTTTTCTACAAGATAAAACAAAGTTCAGCAAAACACCCATCTGTGTTTGCAAGGGCAGCTGATTACAGACCTAGCTGAGCAGTCAGTTGTAGCAGCAGAGCCATGGCCACACTAGGCTCAGAGATGGCTATTTGCATGTCAGGGTAAATATCCCCGTCACTGTTTCTGCCAGCTGGATGTGTAGCAATAGATGAACTGGTACATGGTCATGAAGCATGACATGGCCACACAAGTAAGTGTCCTTCCCCTGCAACCTTTTCACAGTAAAAACAGTTTGGCTGTGACAGCATCATGGAAGCTGAAGACAGAAGGGGCTGTTAAGTCACGCAGTCCATCTCCCTACTGACCCACCAGCTGGTAAACCCGCTTGCTTTAATTCCTTCACTTTGCAAGAGAAAAACAAAAATAGAAGCAGTAATGCAATAAATCATCTTTTGGAATGAATACTGAAGGCTTTTTGAGGACAACAGTATTACCAAAAAGCTGATTTGCCCGTGCAGTAGGTGGAGGCAGAGAGGAGCACTACTGAGGGTGCCCAACAGATGAACATGCTCCAATCTCCCAGCAACATCTGCCTGTCTGATTCATTTTACATAAAGAAAATGATTCTTTACTGCTGCTGTTTGGTATGCCAGTGCTCCCAAATTTCCCATGAATTAAGTGAGTTTTATAGCCCAGATGAAGTCTGGTAGACAATTGTGCAGGATTGCTTGTAAATGATTGAAGTTGCATGTTCATATGGGTACTCAGGTATGCAATTATGGCACTTGAACCACATGCAAAAGCAGGTGTGGGCAGGCACACAAGAATTGTGTAAGGAATGCATGAAGGCTGATTTATACTGCTGAAATACACACAGACACACAAACATCTCCCACTTCTAGAAATCAAAGGGAGTTGAAGGTACTCAAGAGTTCAGGAAAGCTTTAGGGATGTGTTTCAAGATTGAACCCTTTTTGCACATTTTATACTCCTTATGCCAACACTTAGCTAATTGACTAGTCTATAGTTCCCAGTATAGGAAAGCATGAGTCCTTTGTTGTCCTCCGAAAACCAACACCACGGGGCACCTAGCAATTGGAGCAGGGAATTGCAGAGGCAGATCAGAATGGACCATGTCTCCAGGTCTCCACTTGTAATTTTAAATATGGTTAAGATGACAAAGTATCTTCAACTGTTTTGTCAGCTCATATCGAAAGAGGAAAGCATACAGGAGAGATTACATGGGGTTTTCCCAGCAAAAACACCTTAGTTGCAGCCAGAAGTAAATGAGGAGTCTGTGAAGGCTGCAGAGTCAGTTTTTAAGTTTCTGTCTCACTCTTGGTGTTGGATTTCTTCCTTCCTTGTTCTCCTGTTGCTTCCAGAGCCACTGCTGCCAAAAATGCCATCACAAAATGCCTCTCTGGTCACTGGGGAGTATCGGAGGGACAGCTCTAACTGGTTTTGGCTCAAAGTAGGGAACTCCCTATTCCCACAGGGACCACAGCTCTGACCAATCTCTGGACATCAAACTCACCACAGCTCCACCTTCACAGCCCCACCAGTCCTCTTGCACCCTGCACGGGCCGTTGTTCTGGCCCCACTACATGTCTCAGGAAGAAGGGGGACATTATTGAGCACATCCCTGTAGCACTGAGTACTAGTACAGCTGGGGAGGAGTTGGGGCCTCTTCCTACACAGCTACGTCTGGGCTGTGTCCTGTTGTCCATCTGTCTGCCACCTGCCAGCGGCTTTTTACAGGATGGTTCAAGCAGACCTTTTAGACGCTGCAGTGTAATTGCAAAGGAAGCATATGTTTGTTTTCTTGTCTTCTCCTTTGTTTTCCTGACTCCACAAGTTTTCCATTGATTTTAACAGCCAGAATTTCAAAAGGCTGAATGCCAATGCAGTGTTGTGAACACCAGAAACAGATGTGCTTGCATATACTATGGGAACAATTAAAAATACCCTTTGAAACTCTGTTCTTGACAGCTTTGATCAGGAGAAAATAAAGAAAGTCTGCTAACTTGTCGAGTTTCCCCAGCTTCCATCCCAGCACTAATTATTACAGTGTCAGAAAGCATGCAGCCCCAGCATGTAGCTCACAGTTTAGCAAGGAAGAGGCCATACATGTGCATACTGAAGACAGATCATAATGTGTAATTTAACCTAAAGTTTTTTACAATCTGAGCTGCTCTTTTTGATCTGTAATGTCCATCTAAAAGGGAAAAGATTCAAACACATACCAGGCCTTATTTGTGCCATATGAGAACTGAGTCTTAGACCTTAGCGGTTATGGATGCTCAAGTCACTGCAGCTTTCACTAATTCGAACAAGTAGATAAATATTTAAAAGAGCTCCTTTAGCATTCCAGACATAAGGATAAATACACAGAAATGGCAACATTTGGAGGAAATAATCAGCCTAGAACACAATGTGCAAACGTTGGCACTGGGAAGAAGATTCCTCCTGCTTGTAGCAGTACAGTAATGTAGAGTGAGCTGCTAACCTTACTGATAATTGCAGACATGAGGTTCAAGTATTAAACGAGTAGCAACAAAACAAAAAATCTGTTTCTGTTTCTAACATTTCATTCTTCTGTTTCTTCAGCTTCTCCACCCCTTTACCCAGCAAGGTTCAGATCCTTGGCCTCAGCCCAGGAGCCCTGCATTGCTCTGGCTCCACAAAACACCCAGAAGATTCCTCCAAACAAGTGGCTGGAAACCTCTTGGCATGGCCCAGGTGCTACATTGTCTTCTCCTCTGCATAGATGGCAGGCA